AAGGGTGGAAAGAAGAGCAAGGCTGCAAAGACCAAGACCACACTCAATGCGAGCAGAGACGTCGGCGTCAGGGCAGATACTAGGGCATACGATGACGACGACTTTGGCGAGTAAGTCATGTTTGAGCCTGTCTGGCTTCCACATATACTAACAGATCATAGTGACGACTTCATGTGAGGTATGATGGACTTTCCTGTACACACGCCTTTCATATTGGAGTTCATTCCTCATCATTCAGTTTGGAGTCGCGGTTGGTCATTTCAGGAAGGATCAAAAGGGAAACATACGTGCATGGCGTCTTGCGCTTGACGTCTCTGTTTCACGGTTGTGCTTCGAGATGAAGCGGCATAGGTTTAATGCATATGTAGTGCATTATAGATAGACGCGCGTAGACAGTAGATGTCTGATCCTTACAATTTGAGCATGGTACTTCCTCCCACTTAACACTGAAACATTTTACGTGAACACAATAATAGGGTAGTGAAGTGTGTATCAACCCTCTTCCAACAACGATGGTTACGGAACCTGGATATACTACTGTCAGCCCACAGTCCAGACACGATAGTGAGCCATCTTGAGATTGAGTTGGTGCCGGCCAATGCCGCTTCGTCAAACTCCGACGCATCGCAACGCGGGGCAACATAAGTTGATGGAACGTCATCCCGCCAAAAAAAAATTGAACGCGCCAGTCAGTCACGGCTACCAAATTTCCTGCACCAATTGGGATGATGTGAGCCAGAGAATCCCTAAGCCCGATACCATCGATATGCGCGCTCAGTTACTATGCTTTTGAGGGTTCACAGCCATTGGCGCATTACACGTGTAGCTCTTACCCCTCATTGAGTCACTCATTCGAGACGCGCCTCAATCTTGTACACTACAAAACGACACACACATCCACCCACTCGAGCCCACATATCTGGTCTGACGCCGCCCGCGCATTTAGCCCTCTCCACGGCACCAAGCCCGCATCCAATTGCAAGTGCCGACGTGGGACTCGTGGCCTAGCCCGTAGCAGAATTCCCCATTCAAGTCTTTGTTAGAGGGTGCACAGCGCGCGTCTGCATACTACAAACCCTAGCAATTGCGTGCTTGATTCATAGCCATGGATCTCGTCAACTCGTATGTTTTGATTGTTTCTTTTCCCCATTCTTTTCCCTTCTTCTGATAAGCTTCTTGCATGACCATGGGGTACACCAACGGAAATGATGGCGCAAGTGAGATCGAGCGCATCGCGCAAAGAGCGCGTCAGGGCAGCAGGAGTCTTCCTTTCATGACTGACCTTTTGGGAAACAGCTTGAACGACCGTCTCCTCTTTGCGGTGCCTAAAAGTACGTCGCCTACATTACTACTGGCTGGACTCATAGGCTAACAACCATCGCAGAGGGCCGCCTCCACCAAGCATGTCTTGACCTCCTCCACGGTTCGGACATTCAGTTCCACCGACACTCCCGTCTCGATATCGCACTCGTCAAGAACCACCCTCTCGCTCTCGTCTTCCTACCCGCCGCTGATATCCCGACTTTCGTAGGAGAAGGTCGCGTAGACTTGGGCATAACCGGGCGCGATCAAGTCGCAGAACATGAGTGCGTTGCACCACCGACTGCCACCAGCGGGGTGGAGGAGGTTCTCGATCTCGGTTTTGGAAAATGCAGTCTGCAGGTACAAGTTCCCGCAAAGGGCGACCTAGCCAAGCCAGAGGACTTGATCGGCAAGAATGTTGTCACCAGCTTCACCAACCTGGCTGAGCAGTACTTCCGGAAACTCGAGGCCGAGCAAGCTGGAAACACAAACGGCGAAGCCAATGGCGATGCGAAACTCAAAACAGTCATCAAGTACGTTGGCGGCAGTGTTGAGGCGGCGTGCGCATTGGGTGTCGCGGACGGTATTGTCGATTTGGTGGAGTCAGGAGAGACAATGCGCGCTGCAGGCCTCAAGGCCATCTCCACAGTCGTTGATTCCAGCGCCATCCTCATCAAGTCAAAGCACCCATCAGATCCCAAACTGGTTGAGCTGATCACCGCTCGGATAAAGGGTGTCATCAGTAAGTCGCACCAGCTTCCGCATTCATCAGCAGAACTAATTTCTCGCAGCTGCACAGAAGTACGTTCTGTGCACATACAACATCGACCGATCGAAACTCGATATCGCGCGCAAGATCACTCCCGGACGTCGCGCTCCCACCGTCAACGCGTTGGAAGAGGATGGCTGGGTGGCTGTACAGGCTATGGTGCTGAGGAAGGATATCGCTATTGCCATGGACAAATTGACGGAGGTCGGGGCCACCGATCTCATCGTAACAAAGATCGAGAACTCGAGAACGGGTGATTGAGCAACGCATGGCGCATGGGATTTGGGAGGATATACTGGTCTACATTTCCTGCGCAACAGATGCGTTTGATAGAATGGAACTATGTAGAGAGCTTTTAGTATACTAGCTGGATAGTCCGCTCCTTGTATTTGTAGCCGAATGCTATGGAAGCACAAGCGCCGTGTCTCTCGTGTCTAACAAGCTTCGCGTGGCGGAACATTACTAAGAGGTCTGCCATTAAGCCCCGCATGTTTGCCGCGCATTTGCGGATCCTGAACCTTTCTCACCAGACTGGGCAAGTTGTGGGTCGCGGTCTAAACGATGTATTGAGTAGTTCGGCGCTAAGTCTCGCAGGACCTTATCCACAGTCTCGTATCTGTAGCTGTAGACCTTTAGTATCACAAGCACTGCTGAGCAGGTAGCTGCTCGAGATGCTACTCACCAAAAAGATTGCGCAGTACATATTTGTTTACATTCGGCAAACTTCCATCAAGCATTCTTGGTCCAACGGTAGGATAATTGCCTTCCAAGCAATTGGCCCGGGTTCGAGTACGTTCTATTCCCCTCCCAAATCATCAAACATCATTCTAACAGCCTCTCCAGCTCCCGGAGGATGCATAACATCCTTCTCCACAATTGCGAGATGATCATCTTTTTTTGCTCAAACATCGTTTTGAAGACGTGACCAGGGAGGCTGCGACGCACAGAGACCTTGAGACAGTTTTTTGCTTGCGCTTAGAGCAGGCGTCCAATGCTGTGTGTAGTACAAACTTTGAAGAAATGCTCTAGATTTGCCGTGATGTGTGGGAGTGAAGTCGTTTCGACTGAAGTAGTAGTAGTTGTTGTTGTGTGATTTGATGCCCACGCGTCTCACAATGGCTCTCCCCTCGGTACACATCAGCGGTATCGTTTCAAGCACATCATGTAGCAACCAATACAGCAAAGACAGCAAAACAACACGCGCAAGATTCGCCGAGCATGAAATTCAGTTCCCTATCATACACTTCGTATATTAAGAGTATCTCGAAGATTAATGAAACATCACCATCGACATTAGATGGTAAAAAGCGATGAGTTCGATAAACCCCGTGTCGATCCCAGTGACAGTCCGGTCGGTCTAGCACTATCTCAACCCGTGGTTGCTGTTTCCAAGACCGAAGACATCGAACCAGAGAACACTTGATATTGGATACCGAGGAGACTGTGCCAAAGACCAGCCATACCATCACTGAAACCGGCACGGGGGATCATATAAACTTGTTACATTGCGATGAACTACAGACAAACTCCTAATACCGCTGTCCGACTAAGAGAGTGAATGATGCCACCACTACAAGCACATAACTAACCCAAAACACTACAATGACCCATCGCAAACTCCATTGCTATGCCACGCTCGCTGATTCAATAAAGGAGAGAAGTCGTCGTTCATCGTCGTTCGTAGTCGTTCAGTCGAACCGCTTCGATCTACTCAATGCTGATCTTACGGGGCTGAGGAGCCTGAGCCTTGGGAACAAGGATGCTCAAGATACCGTTCTTGAGAGAAGCCTTGACGGCTTCCTGGTCGACGCGAGCGGGGAAGGCGAAGGAGCGGTGGAATTCTCCGACTGAGCGCTCGCTGACCCAGTACTTGGCCTTGTTCTCGTCGTGCTTGGAGACGTCCTTGTTCTCGGACTGCTTGGCGACCTTGTTGGATTCGCTGGGGTCGTCCTCAACCTTGGGCTGAAGCTTCTTCTGCTGGGAAGCTTCACCGTTCTCGATGAAGCCCTGAGGGCGTTGGCCTTCCTCGCGGACGTGCTCGTGGCGGCCCGAGATGGTCAGCGTGTTGTTGTCGGTCCATTCGATGTTGATGTCCTTTTGCTCGACACCAGGGAGTTCTCCGTGGAGTTCGTAGCCCTCCTTGGTTTCCTTCACGTCGAACTTGGGAGTGAAGGACCGGACGTTGGTGAATTCGCGGTCGAGGTTGCGGAAGGCTTGCCTATCGTACTCGTCGAAGAGACGGAAGATAGGAGCGAATTCCTGAGTGAATCGTGGGAAGAGAGACATTGTTGCTGGTGCGTTGGAAAAGCGTCGAGTGGTTGTGATCGTAGGCTTGGTGATGCGGTTGAGTTGTCGAGGAACTCGTTGGATTGTAGAGCGGATTGATTGCATAGAAGACTCGTTGTTTGTTGTTCTGATGATGAGCTTTGAGATACGCCTCGAGGGCTATATATACCCGAGAGATGAGTCTCTGGAATGATCGCACTGCGGAGAGGCATTGGTGTAACGTTGACGACGATGCTGCGAGAAGCCTCGGAGATGGCTCGGGGAGTTTCTAGAGCTTTCGAACACGACGTTTGTCGTCATGTTGTCGTACACGATCAGACGAGATCGTGAGATGAGAGGCTTCCAGCTCTTGTTGGGGGAAACTATCATGGCAATCTCCAGGTTGATCCTGTTTCGGTGAGGGGCGAGTTGGGACTAGAAAGTTCGGGGTGGTGGCTCAGACCATATCACGTGATGTCCGCGCTCGAAGTATCCAACGCCTTGGGAGCGACATGTGAGGCATCCGCTGCACAAGGCCCGTATACTCCGCAATTCGGTCATGTATTGCGTGATGTTCATCTAACAGGTTGTATAACGGTGACGTTGGGTGCTTGCTCACTGGTGCACCGCTTCGTTCTTCGTTCCTTGATCCTGCATTCCCCCGCTACCTGTGGATGTCTCGGATACCCGGCTCAGACCATGTCTCCAGCTGATTTCTTCCTCTTCGAAGCAGATATTCGATGGTACCGAAGTCCTTCTTGCCGACATCCCGGTGCTTATGGAACTCGGATCTGGAGCTACTCGTCAGCTGTCGCAGCAGGTCGTTCATTTGACTTGATCGCACCTTGCAAAGTCCCGGAAATGCGACTGCGTCTCCTATGATTGCGTGAGTAGGTGTTTGTAATCCTAGTGTTGTAATTGACATACCGTTGGTTTCTGCTTCACAGCTCTTAGGCATTGTCGGTAGAGGGACAAAACATCTTTCTGAAGTCCAGATAATCGTACCATCTCGGCCACGTGAAGATGTCTCAAGCCACTGAAAAGACACAAGATGTATAGTCACGCACGTTGGCGACGTTGGGATGCAAGAACGAATGGCGGCGAATCAAGCCAGAGCCGAAGGGCCGTGCTTCTAAGACCGAAGAGGTTAGCGTGATCGATGACGATTTCGATGATGTTGGATCGCTTCCGCGAATCGTAGCATGCTCAAGTGAGGGCGACAACACATTCGAGATGTTTACATGTCTAACGAAGTTCATGGGGGCACGCAGTATCATTGATCAAAAACTTCCACGCGCGAAGATCGCAAATACATCATGAACACATCGCAGACTCCCTTGGTAATGTACTATTGTAAGATCAAAACTGTGTGTGGGTGTGTCGCATGCTTCGTTCACTTTCATCTAGGTGCCGTGCCGCATGGAGAAACTCATGGCGCGCTGATGCTTTCAAGTGGACCCAGCTTGACCTTGATGTCATGCGGCCACACGAACCATTGTTTGTGTAGATCCCACTCCTTTTCTGGATCCTCGAGCTCGATCTTTGGGACATTAGCACTCACATCCACACCCAGAAGAAGTCAAAACGTACCTTATATCTTCCAAATACCGTCGCAACGACCTTGTAGACCTCTACCAGTGCCAAAGGTTTGCCAAGGCAGATCCTGTTGCCTCCTCCGAACGACATGTCTGCGTCTTTCATCTTTTTGATCCTGGCCTCGTACGCGCCGGATTCTTCGCGCTCACTTTGCAGCCATCGCTCCGGACGGAACTCATGGGGCTTCGCACCGAAAATGCTCTCCTTGTAATGAAGGACCCATGGATTCACACCGACAATTGTTCCTGGCGGCAATGTCGTTCCATTGGACAATGCAAGACCAGTTGCAGGGACGACGCGCTCGAGAATATGACCTACGACGGGATGCATACGGAGACCTTCTTTGATGCATGCATCCAGGTAGGGTAGCTGTTCGATGCCAGTATATGATGTAGGGAAGGAGAGACGTGCAGAGAGGAGTTCGTTGACGAGTCGTTCTTTGGATGCTGATGACTTGAGGATGTGATAGAAGATACCTTTTATCACAATGGCAAGAGTATCGGCACCGCCGAGAATCTGCAGGAGAAGTGTTAGTTCTACTCACGCCACAGCGCAGCCATGAAACACTCACGTTAATGATCATGTATCCAATAACCTCGTTGTCGGTGACAAGGTCCGGAAACTCCTTCTTTGCTTCGAGAAAGCCATTGAGAAAATCTTTCTTTCCGTTGCCAAGTTCAGGTTTCTGCATGCGCTCCATAAACCGCTCGACGGAGAAGCCGGCAGCAACGGAGAAGTCATCGAACTTATAGAGCGAGCGTGGCCACTTAGGGTTCTTTCCGAGCCACTTGTCAAGGGCTGGCATTTGGCCGACCTAGCGAATGTCAGTAAGAAGTTTTGCAATCGTAACAATTTTGTTAAGTTTTTGACTCAGCGTAGAACAACATACCACAGAGAAATAGCGCATCACACGTTCAGCGGTTCCAAGCATATCGCCAACATCTGTACCCTGTTCCATGAAGCCAATACGCTTGCTCCAGGTCATGTCACCCAAGAAGTCCCATGCGAAGAATGAAATCCAATCAGCAATATCGCATGTCTGGTCCTTGTTGGCGCCTTCCACAAAGCGGGCGTCGAGTTGACTGCATAGGGTACGGAGGTTGTCGTCCATAATACTCTCGATCTGAAGAGCATTTTTGAGACTGTACAGCTTTTGGACTGGCTTAACATTTTTGGAGTGGAATTCATTGCTGCGCGTACTGAAGATGTTTTGAATGAGATGCCCATCTTGAAGGGCGTCGTTGATAGACCGAAGGAGGGTTAGCATGATCCACTTCTAAAGACGACTGCCTATATCTTACGTAGTAATCGCTCTATTGTGATGTCAGCAGCCGTCCAAAATAGCAGCCATGTTCCATGCGCTTACCTTCAAGTACGTGCCACGAGTATTGTAAATAGTTTTGATCAGACTGGCATCGGCAACGCTGACGGTATTGGGACCGAGACGAACGATATCGCCGTGCTGTTCATGAAGCTTCCTCTGGGTCTCAATATGAGTTTGCCCATAGTGATTTAGGAAACGCCAGATATCCGAGAATTTGGCTAGAAAGGGACCGGGAATAGATTTGAGCGGGGATTGCAAGTAAGCCAAAACGTATCGAGTGATGAGAAGGACTGCCCCGAGGCCGATTGCCTTCACGAATAATCCTGCCAATGCCATGTTGTCACTTAACTCCGCACATGCAATGTGATTCTGAAAAGGAAAGAAGGACACAACCGTAGGAGTGGGAAGAGGACTGAGTATGGTAATGCAGGTGACAAGGCCTTCCCGCTTCAGATTGTTGCGAATCACCTGGCAGCGGCATGTTCAGGTATCGGTCTAGCATATGTAAGAAGACGGGGCTAGGATCGAGTCCCCTTTGCTTGATCGCCCTCGTGCTGGTGAAGCCAAGTCCAACTTGCCCTGAGCGAGGTAAGGCGCCGCTTGCGTACATCCATGGCGTGTATTGCTTTTTTCCACCACCTTTTTATCGCAATCTCAGGCATAGCCATTGGTCGTACCAGCCATCGCGAATGTCGGGGAAGCGGTCTCTTGCACTAATGACGGAGTGACAGCGGGAGGTGTGGAGATTTACGGTTCACGGGTACTAACACAGGTTAATCATGTGGGGACCGACCGGGCCCTGAAGAGCAGGTGTGAGGCAGGTGAAGTTCGCTCCGTTTGCAGGTCCAACCGCATGAAGCTCCTATGGTGGTCGCGATGCATCTCTTGACAGTCCCCGGACAACGGCGCAGATGAACACGCTTATCTGCGTTCCGCAGTCCTGGAAAACTGCCTCGTAGGATCTGAATCCTTCGCTCCTTCACTCCTTTCCGGACGCCGCTGCGTGTTAGACCGAGGTTGATCCGTCGGATGTGTGATTGAAACGCCACTAAAGTTCGCTTAGCCGAGTCTGGTGTGGCCCACCGCTGACCCTCACGATTAGTAGTGCGGGCAACGGCCCGTGACGGAAAGGCCAAACGTTCCTGTACGACTTCAGATCATCGAATTCTGCACGCAAGAACAAATTTTCGCAATGCCATTTCGAAGCCACTTGCGTAGCATGAACGATCCAAGGTTTCGCGAAGGACATGGCCTAATTGACTAGTGCGCAGCACCGCATTCCAGAGACGGGATGTTACGAGATCCAAACCGGATAGGCCTCCACATTCGGGGACAGTGGATAACCGGTAGTCGCATACTCCGAGTTTTGGGCACTCATTGGTCCTGATATCTTTAGCTTCATCGCTGAACGGTGAAGGAACACCTTCCTACTCCACCTGAGCGCTCAATCTGGGGCATTTCTCATCACGCGGGTAATTGGTCCTCAGCGAATCAGACGAAGCGGACGCATTCAGAAAAGGTCCTGTTGGACCGCAGGATGTGCTGCGTCAACCCGCAAGCAAAAAAAAAAAAAAAGCATTTCATCTCTTCCTTCGTGCTATGCAAGCTGCAAGATACAAGACATTGCGGCATATGAAGCGCAGACGGGGTATCTTGCTCCGGTAGTTGCGAAGGAGTCGTGCTCAACACCTCTCCTGGGGATGCAGATTGAACTACTCTGGGAAGAAGTGAAGCAGAAGACGGGAACTAGTTTGGCGGCAAAGTAAAAACAGTCTACCAACGTCAAGCTACACCAGGATTCAACGGAAGACTGCTTTTTTTTTGAGGCCTCGCATGCATGAAACCTCACTCATAGTGCCTCTTTGCAGGGCAATGGGAGGGACAAGAACGGCAACAAAGCTTTGAGCCTATGCCTTGTTTGATTGCCTATGCAGGTCCCGAGGATTAGCGGTTTGTTTTGGCTTGGAATTCCGGCCCCCCTTCAGTATCCCATATCCACAACGGGGTTGCGAAAATGCGCTCGGGCCGTGGATTTTTTATGCGAGTATGTTTGCTCTTCGGCATGGGTGTCTTCGAGGTCACAATTGAGGCCATACATGCGTCACTCCAACATTCCTTGCCACCACTGGAGTTGTTCATCTGAACATAAAACCTTTCGCACCGAGCACGGGGTTGCCTCTACCTCATTCATAATTGTCTCTTCTTTGGACACAAGCCTACGCGCTCATCAGCGACACACTGGAATAGCGAACGACGAGGACAGAGATCCATTTCCAGGTTTCCAACCAGAACCAGATATTAGCAAACAAGATGGGCAAGCCAGCTGATTTTGCGGACATACTCAATGGAGTGATGTGGGCTCAGGTATTTCTTGGCACTGTGCTTGTCGCATTGCGAATGTACACAAGGCAGTATATTGTTAGAAATATCGGATGGGACGACGTATTGATGTTGGTCAATCTGGTAAGTTTACACCTATTCACAAACTTCAACTTGGTAGTTAGTCGAAAGCTCAATAAACTGATTTTTGAAGGCTACCTTCATCGGTTATGTTGGCTGCGTGTCTGTTGGCATCACCTATGGTGTTGGCAAACAGACGGCCGACATTGTACGACTCGACCTCAACTACTCCAAATCGATCATGTGGGAAGCCATCGGTCAAGGCATCTGCATAATGGGAATAGCTGCCTCCAAGGGTTCAGTAGCACTGTTTCTCCTGCGCATTGTTATCAAGAGATGGCACATTGCTATCCTCTGGTTTTGCATAGCGAGCACGACAGTGCTTTGCATCATCACAACAACACTTTTGTACACTCAGTGTGTACCATCGGCGTTCCTATGGGATCAGACAATCGAAGGCGGCTATTGCTGGCTGAACTTCACCGAGGTCGGTCTAACGATGGGTGCTTGGTCTGCAGCTATGGACTTCGTTCTCGCTCTCCTCCGTACGTCACCCTGCTGCGTATCACTCCAAAATAGACACTGAGCGTTTTTAGCTTGGCACATCATCATGGGACTCAACATGAAACGCAAGGATA